TATTATTAATTTTTTTTCGTAACAACACAAGTGCACGCACACACACACACGCACTCACACACATATATACAATAATATTCACACGCACACACAAACACAGAGAGAGAGAGAGAGAGAGGGAAAGAGAGAGACAAAATAAAAAATAGATGAAAAACAAACATGTACGAGAAGTCAATCTAACTTTGATAATTTTTTTTTTTTTGTTTCAACAATATTTTATATATTGTTATGATTCGATTCATAACTTTTATTTTCATCCCTTTCGCGTTTACCATTTTTAAATCATAACAAAATCACACTTTGAAAGGCTTGCGAGAGAAGGATCGCGTTATTTCATATTGGAAACAGACAAACGAAAAAAAAATTAAAATTACTTGATGACGTAAATGATAGCAGAAGACAACATGTGACAAAAGATGGACGAACATGACACGAAACTAACGTGTTCAGTTCATTTCATTTTGGAACTAATCCTTTCACTTAAGAGACTAAAAAAAAACAATGGAATAAATTTCTTCTAAAACCCTAAACCTTTCAGGCACATTATAATTACAACCCTTATTATTTATTTATAGAAATGTAAACATTTTCAAACGGGATCATCACAACAATATAAAAAAAAACTATTATTACCAACAATACAAAACTAAAAAAAAACTATAAAAAAAAAAAAAAAAATTCACGCGGAATTTGATAACTAGTCGAGAAGGAAAAACAAACCGGATTATATTAAATGTTAGAAGACGACACGACAGCAAAATAATTTTCAAAACATTCTCACACATTCAGACTTTTTTCATTTTTACCTTTTCGTTATACATTTTCAACGGATATCCGGTAAACTTGTGACGCATGCGCCTCGGAAAAGAACAACTTCCGCTTTTTTTTTTTTTTTTAAATAACGACTAAATTCATATTTTTTGAATGGAAAAAAAAAAATTAAATTTTTCTTTCTCCCACAACCTGTTCCTACTGCGATGCGATTTAAAAACTTTCGCGGGGGGAGGAGGGAGGGGAATAACAACAATAATAATAATAATAATTATGCTAAAGTGAAGAGAAAAAAAATGCGCGCAAAATTTTAAATTATCGAAAGTGTGTTAATTAAACGCGTGGCATTCGCGGTTTTTTTTTTTTTTTTATGCAAAAGCACATACACAACAAACAACAACGACAAACGTCTCCAGTTTTTTTTTACGTTTTAGCACACGCTTGAAACTTCCGAAAACTATTATTATTATTATTATTATTATTATTATTATTACTCTTTAATTCCTTTTCCTTTATTATTATTTATTTTTCGACAAGTAAACAACATGTACCACGTGTATATTCAATCAAGTTCAATTCAAAGTTAATTATTATTATTATTATTATTACTGATTCGAAGGACAGCGAAGACAGAAAGTAAAGATTTGTTTTTAAATGAAAAAGTAAAAAAAATAAAAACTAAAATAGAAATATCTCAGTCTATGGTTAAAAAAAAAAAAAAAAATTTATCACGAAAAATTTCACTGAGAAGAAAAAATTGACATTTTTTTTATTATTTCATTTCAAATTAAACGACATTATTATTATTATTATTATTATTATTATCACTGGAAGAAAACGTTAATTGACAATCCTTTCATTAAATTTTTTTAAATTGAAAATCTTGCATTTCATTCCACGCACACGCACACACACACACAGTTTTCTCAGTTCGGTTAGTTTTTACCACAGAAGAATTTTTTTTGTTTTTTTTTCAATTAACAAAATTAATTAAACTTTTAACCGACATTTTCCGCCATATTTTAGTACATGAATCTCTCACAATAAACCTCTTTTCCAAAAGAGAAAGTAAAGTATACGTAAAAGTCACATTTAAGTAATGTTAAAGAAGGACAAAAAAAAATTTCCAAAAAAACGTAATTACACGCACGCACGCACGCACACACGCACAAACCCACACGCAAGTGATTTGATTTAAATTTTTTTTTTTGTTTTTTCAGTCCTTTTACAAAGGGAAGACGATTTTCATTTTTGGCATGCATATAGATTTTCAATGGATGATAATCGCATTAAATCAAATGGAAAAAATACATTTACAGGAATGTTTAACATTCGAATTAAATAATACAGGAGCAACTGGTACAACTCAAAGAGAGAGAGAGAGAGAGAGAGAGGAACAATAAAAGAAGAAGCTCCTCTAATCAAAAACCTTCTTAATTTCCTCTTGATAAAAAAAAAAAAAAAAAAAAAAAATGTCTAAACAAACGTCTCTACTAATAGTACAAATTACAAATTACATTACATATTTTTTAAATTATATTACAATAACTAAAAAAAATTTAAAGCTGCAAGTTGGAACTTAGAGGGATATAATAATTTACGACTTAATAACTAAATAAAAAAAAAAAAAAATGGGCGAACAGCAAAAAAGTTTTTATTGCAACATAAGAGACTCTAAATTTCTATGTAATATGGTATCTTTAACGGCATTAAATACATATTTAATATTTTCGGTGTCTACGGCTGTCGTAAAGTGATGAAATAACGGTTTCTTTGGATCTCTCTTTATGGATACAAATTGTTTTAATATAAAATCTTGTACTTGGACTAGATCGTGATTATCTCCTTTATATTCGGGGAAATATTTTTTAAAATCAGTCTCTTTGATCGATAATTTCCTTTGTAACAAATCCGTTTTGTTTAAAAATAATATTATGGAAACAGAACTAAAAACCTGATTATTGACAATTGTATCGAATATATTTTGTGATTCTTGTAACCTATTCGTGCGCCTGTCCTCCACCAAAACCTGATCAAATTCAGATGATGATACTAAAAACAATATTGATGTCACCGAGTCAAAACACTGGAACCATTTTTGCCTCTGCGATCTTTGGCCTCCTACATCCACAAAACGAAAAGGAATGTTGTTGATGGGTATAACAAATTCATAAATACCTTTCGTTGCTTTTCTAGCATGAAGGATATCTTGATTTGTCGGAACATAATCCTGTGCATGAAATAACATTTTATATTTTTTTCCTTTTCTTTTCTCATTTAAGTTTAACAATGATTACTTTTTTTCCTACTAATAAATATTTTCTCTTAACCAAAACAACTCGATAACACTTGTTAAAAAACTTTCCTTTCGGTTTAACAATTAATGAAAAAAAAAAAAAATTTTACGTAATCACCCACACATAACGATTTTAATTTTAATTTCGATAAAAAAAAAAAATAATTTAATAAAAACTTACCAGTCTGGCAATCCTCTCCAAGTTATCCAAAAAATACTGAACTGAATCACTCTGAAATAATAATAATAATAATATTAACAACAACAAAAAATCATTTAACAAATGTCACATAATATTAATTTAAAATTTATTGTCTAATTAAATAATAATAATAATAATATGGATAGAGATAAAGTAAACAAAGTAATTAATTAATGTGATTTAAATTTTCTTAAATAATAATAATGATAAAATAAATTTATTTTAAATAATATAAGAGAACAATAAGAATAGATTATTAAATTTGTTTTTTTTTGTTTTGTTTTCTCATTAATCTGTCAAATTCTTTATCGCGGCATTAGGTTTTGTAATGACTCAAAAACAGCCATTATTGTTGTTTGTAATGAATCGTTAGGCAACAATCAATCACACATATAAAAAAAAAAACAATAAATTTAAAAATTAATAAAAAGATTAAATGATTTTTTTTTTTTTTTGAAACTTACCAATTGAAATTCACTCCTCCTTTCAAAAGCTATTTTTATAGCTTGGTCTTTCCAAAGGCAAGATATTGTCGATGCCAATTGAGCGAAAGTCTTATTGTCCAGAAAAACATTATTATCAATTTTCATTAAATGATAAGCATAATCGAAATTATTTTGATCGTTCCATTTAATATTTAATTTATCCCTCGCATCCACCAATACTTTCATACCCTTAACAATGTTGTTGTATATCACGTGTTGATATTCTTTCAATAGTTCAGGTTCAAATTTAACACCGTGAATAATCCTCATCTGCTTCAAAAAAGTCGACTTTCCACTTTCACCAGCACCCAATAATAATAATTTCACTTGCCTCCTTAATTTTTGCCTGTCTTTTTCTATCATTTTATCTATTTCTAAACTTCTGTACCTTTGTTCTATTTCTTCAGGACTAAATTTAAAGCGAAGACAACAACCATACGACCATACCACAGTCGCCATTTTGAAAAACCTCACCTCATGATGTCATCTAAACTCATTTAAGTCTATGCAACTTGTTATACAAGAATGCAGATTAAACGAACAACAACAACAACTCGTGCGTTCTCTCTCTCTCTCTCTCTCTCGTTTTAAATCCTATCGTTTCTCTTCGTTCACTTATTTATTATTTTTTTTACCGATTCATTCAAAACAAAATATAATATTATTATTATTATTAAAAAAAACAAATTAATAATTTTAATAACTTTATGACACGAACGCGGATAAAATTATTATGAAAAATTTAAAAAAAAGAAACCAAACGCCTAATTGATTTGACCTCTTTCGATGAATTAACCACCAACATCACCACCACCACCACCATCACCATCACCATCACCATCACCATTACCACCACCACGATTAATCATTAACCAATAAATAATTTGATGATAGTTAATAAAACTAATCAAAAACGAAACAAAAACTAAAATTTAAAAATGTGTCAATTATCGATAATAAAGAAAGAAAGAAACACATCACATGTTCTTAATCCAAAACCAACTCTACAATAATAATAATAATAATAATTCGTCACGTTTAAATAATTACGTAAATTTTACTTTTAATATATTATTATTATTATTATTATCTTAATAGGAAAAATATTACGATAAATTTATAAGGTAAATAGAAAAAAATAATAAAAACAAACGATATCAGAAATTTCACGTGCCTTTATTATTTATTTTTATTTTTTTTTATTTTTTTCATTATTTTTAATTTTTTTTCATATTTTGAAAAGTATGTGTACATTTTTTAAAAATTTCTTATTAATGAGGTAATATTATTATTAATAATAATAATAATAATAATAATAATAATAATAATAATAAATCAGACTCATCGCTATACTGTTACATCTATTTTTAAAAAAAATTAGCTGACAGTTACTACAAACGAATTTTTTTTTTTTTTCATTTTTTTTTATTTTTTGTTTTTTTTTTTTTACACAGAAATAATTAAAAATTTTATTATTATCATTATTATTATTATTATTATTATTACAATCAGCTAAAAAATATTTATATATATATATATATATATATATATATATATATATATATATATATATATTTACCAGTTAAAATCACAAAATGTTTACAATAAATAGTAGACCCCCAAAAAAAGGAAAAAGGAAAAATTTTTTTTTTGTTTACATAAATAATAAAACAAAATCTAAAATTCTAATCGAAATTAT